TATTGAACTCGTTCCGCAACGCAAGACACACGAAAGTCTTTTTATACTAAACATATACCGCAACCCTAAACAAAAGAAGCACAGATTTCTCACACTCTTTAAACGCGCCCTCAACATCGCTGGCCAAAATCCCATCTTAATAGCAGGGGACTTCAACGCACCACACACTGCCTGGGCATACTCTTATGTGTTTTCTAAAGGTAGGGCCATCTGGTTTGACTCGCAGCAAGAGGGATTAACTCTCATCACCAACCCTAGCACACCCACACGTGCGGGCACTAGCTGCAGTAAAGACACAACGCCTGATCTGACGTTCACGAGAAACACATTAGCAGCCACCTGGAAAAATACCCTAGAGGACCTGGGTTGCGACCACTACATCATCGAGGTACATGTTCAAGGTGGCCCACGTAAACCCACGGGAAAAGAGCTAAAGTTGGTAGACTGGACCCAGTTCCGCAAATCACGTGAGAACCAGGTCCAACCCATCAGCGACATAGAGGACTGGATACACACGCTTAAACAGGATATAATTAATGCCACTCGAATCGTACCTCCCGAGGCATACCTCGAAGAGATCGATAGCCGGCTCCTCCATATGTGGGAGGCAAAGTAATCGCTCCAAAAGAGGTGGAAGACACAGAAACACAACAGAAACCTCAGGAAATGCATAGCACTCCTGAACACAGAGATGGAGATGTATGCAACACAGCTAAGCCGGCAACACTGGGATGAAACCTGCGATGCGATGGACAGGCAGCTAAGTCTTAGTAAAACTTGGCATTTTCTACGGTTCCTGCTCCACCTAGAAGACAGCAAAACCGCCCAACGACAAACCGTCAACAAACTAATACATGCTTACAAGGGCACTGACGAGGAGTTTCTTAGGGAGGTAGAGCTCAAATATATCTCTCAGGCTCCTACACAGCAGCATCCAGATTATACGGGCCAGATCAACACTACTCTAGAGGAAGAATTCACCGAAGCGGATATCCGTGCCGCCCTACAAAAACTTAACACCAAATCTCCACCAGGTCCGGACAACATCACGAACAAGATAATACGTAATTTGGACGATGAGTCGATCACGCATATCACAGACTATATAATAACTGCTGGAACACCGGAATCTTGCCCCCGCATTGGAAAACGGCCAAGGTGATTCTGATTCCGAAACCAGGCAAACCACTGAATACCGACAATCTTAGGCCCATCTCCTTAACATCTTGCATAGGCAAATTGATGGAACACGCTTTCCTGGCTAGACTGACAAATTACCTCGAAGACAATGATTTTTTCCCACACACCATGATTGGCTTCCACAGGCATCTTTCAATGCAGGATGCCATGTTGCAGCTTAAGCATCACATCATAGACAGTACGGGACGCTCCACTAAGGGCATACTTGGTCTTGATCTGAAGAAGTCTTTTGACTCTGTCACGCATAGCACCATTCTAAATCAGGTCAATACCCTAAACTTGGGGCTTCGCACGTACAACTAACTTTATTAGGGCATTTCTTACGGGCAGAATGGCCACGATCACTGTGGGAGCACTCAGGTCGTCCGAAATAACCATAGGAAGTGCGGGCACCCCGCAGGGTTCCGTGATATCTCCCATGTTGTTTAACCTCACCCTCATTGGTCTTCCTTCAAAACTTCAAACCATCCAAGGACTTCATCACACCATTTACGCCGATGACATCACCCTCTGGATGTGCGACGGCAGTGACGGTTCCATTGAACAGAGGTTACAGAAGGGGATTGACACAGTCGAACGGTATTTACAAGGAACTGGACTATCCTGCTCGGCGGAGAAATCTGAGCTACTGCTATATCGCCCTACACTTAGAGGTCAGCCACCCAAACAACATCCCCAAGTGCAGGCACACGCTGATATAAAACTAACTACAAGCGATGGTCACGCCATACCAACCGTGGACAAAATCAGAGTGCTAGATTTGATCATAGAAAGTAAGGGTACCAACGGAGAGACAGTTCGCAACATTGAAGCCAGAGTGTCTAACACGATGCGCCTCATTAGGCGCATTACCAATAAACACAAAGGCATGAAAGAGGCCAGCATCATCCGTTTGATCCAAGCGTTTGTTCTAACTGACATCACCTACACGGCGGCGTACCACCGATGGTTCACAGCGGAAAAGTCAAAACTCAACAGCCTAATTAGGAAAATTTACAAACAAGCGCTAGGTTTGCCTCAAAACACCAGCACCGAACTACTCCTTCAACTTGGTTTACACAATACCCTTGAGGAACTTATTGAGGCGCAACAAATCTCCCAATTCGAGCGTTTAGCCAAGACTAAGCCAGGCCGCCAGATTCTATGTAATCTCGGTATTACTTACCACACTCAACACGGAGACAAACACGACATACCACGCACTCTCCGTGCTAAGCTAACAGTACCACCCATACCAAGAAACATGCACCCTGAACACAACAAGGGCAGACGTGTCAGTAGAGCCAGGACCATGTCAAAGATGTTTGGGCGCAACCATGAGGCAGTCTTTGTCATCGTAGCACGTTGCCAGGAACGTCATCACTTCGTGGCTGCTGTCGTAGACCACACACAACAATGCAAAAGCAGCGCGTCAATCATCACACAGAACGTAGAAACGGCACAGGAAGTGGCTATCGCGATGGTCATAGCCCACACTAACGCCTCATGCGTAATCAGCGACTCGCAGACAGCCGTTCGAAGCTACGCCAGCGGCAGAATCTCCCCCGAGGCATTGCGGATCCTTAATACAGGCAAAATTCACGAGGCGGACAAATACGTACACATCTTGTGGTTCCCTGCCCACACACCACTAGGTAACGCGGAGGTTAGTCCGAATGAAGTTGCGCACAACGTGGCTCGAGGTCTTACGTTCCGAGTCACGTCAGACGAAGCGGCCACCCAAACGGACCTTTCTGCGCCGGTGTGGGAATGGGACGATCGGCTCACTAAATTTAATGACATAATTCAACACTGTCAACTGCAAAGCCGGGAGTACCCTCCGCCTCACTCCAAGCTAAATCGGGCCCAGTCCGTTCAGTGGCGAAAGCTACAAACACGCACATACACGAACCCTGTCATCATGCACCACATATATCCTGACGTCTATAGTTCTAATCTATGCCAGTACTGTACCACCAGAGCAACTCTCGACCATGTCCTACGGGAATGTCCAGCGTTAGTCAGAAATTCTGGGGTCGCGGCCTCTAATGAAGACCTTCGGGCGCGTTGGCGGACTGCGCTGCTGAGTTCGGGCCTGGACAAACAACTTTGGGCGATCCAGCAGGCCAAGGAAGCTGCCGGGAGACACGGTCTCTCCGTTGGCCCCTAGGTGGGAGCCCATCCCAGCAATCTGCCGGAAATTATTAAAGTCTATCTCTCTCTCTCTCTTTCTCTACTTAAGAAACACGACTTCCCCCTAATCCACGCTCAATGAGAACAAATGTTTATATTTGGGAAACGTCATATGTGCTTGAAGTTATGGCTGCCGCAGTTGTAGCGACTCGTAACTCATTTCCACAGTCCAGTGCCTGAGTGCTGCGCAAACCACCATCGCAGGTGTCTCGAACCAAGCGAAACACCGACAACGCCTTACAATAAGCGAAGCCAGCAGCAGGGCTTCTGCCAGCCCTGCATGCGCACGAGGTCAGACTGAGGAGCCAGAACGCCTGACGGAGGAAAAAAAAAACGAGGTTAGACACGAATGGCTCGTGATATCAACTCCTCGGTCACTCCTCGGACTCCTCGGTCACTTTCTTTCGTTTTCGATCTTTTAGGGACAAAGCTCCTTCAAACAGCACCCATTCGTCCCTCGTAGCCTTTGTAGTATGTAACAAGTATAACGTTTTGAATTCCAAGGTGGTGCCGGTGAGAGATTTCTTCTGTGCGTTGTTGAACAATAAAAAATTGTGTTCAATGTACATGACAATAGCTGCTAATGGGGAATGAGAGTCAGGAGCATTTGGCTTTTAGTTAACGCGCACGCTGCGATACCCTGTAGCAGCCATTGGCATGTACATTGAGCACTACCTGACAGGAAAGGATTGCTACGTTATACTCGCTGGGTGTAACCTCCTTAGTTTTAGAAAGGTTTAGCGAGCATTGAGCCGCAGTGCCATGAATAAATTAACTAGTATCTACCATGAATGAACTCGAGGTGGTTAAAGGAGGGTAGATACGAAGCGCGAGCCGTAAGAAAGTAAAAGCCGAATTCTCCTGTCGCTCATTTTTCATTAGCAGCCATTGGCATGTACATTGAGCACTATCTGACAGGAAAAGGTTGCTACGTTATACTCACTGGGCGTAATCTCCTTGATTTTAGAAAGGTTTAGCGAGCGTTGGGCCGCAGTGCCATGAATACAGTGAACTAGTATATACCATGAACTCGAGGTGGTTAAAGGTGGGAAGTAGACCCGAAGCGCTAGCCACAAGAAAGTGTGCGTGTGCCACCTCTAGTTTAGTCCCTGGAATGTCCCCAGGATGGCGGTGCTTCTATACGGGGAATATATGATGAAAAGATGCGAGATGGTGGTACTTGGAGTGTTGAATAGATGGACGAATGGACACACAGACAGGTGCGTGGATAGACACATGAACGGACGCAGGGGCGGATGAATGGACGGTAACACAGATGGACGCATGGATGGACGGAGGCAAGAACGAATGGACGGACAAATGCTTCGCCCCACTCTCTATCATTCACTCCGTAAATATGCTGCCAATTTTTTTATCGATTACACTGTCACGCGCTAACCCGAAATCGCCCACCACACACCGCTACGTCTTGCCACTCTCTCCAACCAGGCCGAACTCTCCCTTCCCCACACACGCAACCCCCACCACTCCAGTCCCAATGATGTTGATGACGCCGTCACATAGTGCCCTCTCTCGGCCAAGTCCCGATGATGATGACGCCGTCACGTAACGCCCTCTCTCGGCCACCCTCACAGGTCTCCCCCCCTCCTCAAAATGTGAAGCCACCACTACACATCGCCTGCAGCGTCATGGTACAGTGTCAGCTGATCTGCGTGTCTCACACCGTGACGACGATCCGTTTTGGGGTCCACTAGAACAAAGTCATTCTGTCGCACACGTCTCACTTCCCGAAAGGGACCGGAACGCCGGGGTGCAAGCTTCGAGGAGAAGCCCTTGGTGGCATCGCTGAGGGAGTGGCTTTCGAGCAGAACAAGATCACCCTCCTGTATTGTCAGTGGCTGCCTGTGCTGGTCGTAGCGAGTTTTCTGAGCGCGCCACATGTGGTTTTGTTGTGTCCTGGAGAAGTCAAGCACCTCCTGCAGACACTTGGAGACCTCAGTAGCAAATGCACGGTATGCTGTCGTAGGAGGCTCCGCGTCGTCTTTGGCCTCAGCCTGTGTCCATGGGGTTCTCAGCTCCCGGCCATAACAGAGGAAGGCAGGCGTGTAGCCCGTGACAACGCTTTCAGCCGTGCGCATAGCCAGGGCGATTTCAGGGATGTGCTGGTCCCAGTCTTTGTGGTTGGAACAATAAGCCTTAAGGCACTGCTTGATAATGCCGTTGTGGCGCTCCACCATTTGCCCGGCAGGGCGGTACGGAACAGTGTGTCGGTCTTGTATGCCCCAATGCTCAAGGAGGCCTTCCACAACCTGCTTACAAACGGCTTTCCATATCACTTGAAATGGAGACAGGTGTGCCATGTCTGCAAAAAACCTGGATCATGCAGGCCACCACACTTTTGCTATTTGCTGCCCGCAATGGAAAAAGTTCAATGAACTTGGTGAACTTGTCAATCACCACGAGAAGGTACTTGTGGCGTCGAGGCGTCATAGGCAAGGGCCCAATTATGTCCACGCTGAGCTGTTCCATAGGGGCAGTGGCCCATTGACTGCTCATCAGCCCTTCTGGCTTCTGCCGGTGGGCTTTGTGCGCTGACAAACCTGGCAGCATCGCACATACTTGGATATGTCCGAGCGCATACCCAGCCACACGAAATTCTGAGAACGCGTTTGAGGGTCTTAAAAAGCCGGAGTGGCCGCTAATCGGGTGGTCATGGGACAGTCGCAGGACCAAGTTGCAGAGATGGTTTGGTAGCCAAGGTACTTTCCTGTTCCCTCGGTGCTGTACAAGCAACCCACTCTCTTCCATCTCGGTCGTCTCCGCCAGGTCTTTTATCAAGGGTTGATCACTGTCAGTGGGCGGAAGCTTTCCTCCCTTCATCACTGTTCGTAGTTTTGACAGTATGGGGTCCTGCTCTTGTTCCTGGGCGAGGAGCCCTGCATCATTCAAAACAGTAGTGCCGTCCACTTCAGATGCTACAGCAGCTGTATCAAAGCTGATTTGTGGCTGGGCTCTGGAACAGCCATAGGGAACAGCGTCTCGTGTAGACTCGGGCTTAGAACTTCCTGGTGCTGAAGGGGAGCTCTGCTCAAGGCGTCGGCTGGCACATTTGCAAGACCCCGCCTGTGCTTGATTCTGCAGTTGAAACCTTGCAGCCGCAAAACCCAACGCTTTACACGTGGTGAGGCCTGGTCTGTGGTGAACAATCCAGGATAGTGAGGAGTGATCACAGTGTACCTCAAACTCGGTGAACTCAAGGTATGGTCGGAACTTGTCCACTGCCCACACCACAGCCAGACACTCCCATTCTTGCACTGTATAGCGCTGCTCTGCCTCAGTGAGGACCCTGCTAATGAAGCTTATTGGACGCAGTTGAGCATCACTCTCGGCTGCCTGCAGAAGCACCGCTGCAATGCCGACTCCACTGGCGTCTGTTTCCACCACGAATGGTCTGTTGAGGTCTGGCAAGTTTACAACAACATCGTCGGCCAGGGACTGCTTAAGTGCTCTAAAGGCTTCCTCTTGCTGCAGCTCCCACCGCCAACGTTGCTTTTTCTTAAGGAGTTCTGTGAGTGGACGTGCAATGATAGAAAACTGAAGTATGAACCCTCTGTAATAGCCTGCTAGTCCCAGGAAGGCCTGCAGCTGTTTGAGTGTTGTTGGTTGAGGATAGTCCAGCACCACTCGCACTTTTTCCTTGTCCGGCCTACACTGCCCGGGCGATATTTCATGGCCAAGGAACTTAAGGTATTGACAGCACACGTGCACCTTCTCTGGGTTAATGGTCAGCTGTGCCGAACTTATCCGCTTCAACACCTCCCGAACATGCTCAAGATGATCCTCTAGGGTCTCCGAATACACCAGGACATCATCGAGAAACGCCATGGCAAACTGATGATTAATTCCCTCCAGTAGTCGGTCCATCAAGGTCTGAAACGTGGCAGGACCTCCGGCAACTCCAAAGGGCATTCTCATAAACTCGAAGGTTCCCCGATGGCAAATGAACGCTGTCTTTGGAATATCTTGCTCTTGAACAGGGATTTGAAAAAACCCTGTGAAAGATCAAAACTTGAGAACCACCTGGCTCGTCCCAGCTGTGCCAGCAACCAATCAGTCCTCGGCATGGGTAGACTGGCACCTTAGTGCGTGCATTTAGCTGGCGGTAATCCACAGCCATGCGGTAGCCACCAGACTTCTTCTCAACCAGGACTGGAGCACTGGCATGCTGACTTTGGCTAGGGCGGATGAGGTTCTGTGCCAGCAGGTCTTGAATGCAGTTGTCCATGATGGCCTGCTTCTTGGAATTCACTGGTCGCAGTTTGCATCGAACAGGTGGGTTGTTTCCCGTGTCTATGCGATGCTCTGCCAGAGTTGTGCAGCCCGGAGTTGTGGTGAAGATTTCGCTGAACTCTTCTAAAATGTGTTTCATGCGTGGGTCTAGGTCCGACGAGTGGCCGGGAATGATCACATTGCAGGCTGCAGTCGCCTCCGGCACACTGGCCTCGCCCTCAGCAAAAATGCAGCGCAGACTGTCTCCAAAATCATCCACTGCCTCTGGCTGTTCCTTAACGGCCTTGACAAACGGCACAATTCTTTGTGGTTCTGTGCCGACAGTCCACCCACCAAGTGACACGTGCAGAGAAATGCCACTCACCGTCAGGAAATCCCTACCAAGGACAACGTCACGGCACAGGTCAGGAACGCACAAAAACTGCTGTCTGCGGCAACCGGCAGCCCACTCGATCTGGCACTTCAGAGACATGGTTGACTGCGACCAGCCTGATGCCAAACGCAGCACGCGTACGTCTGCCTTGGGTTTGGCTCCAGAAGCCTGGGCCGCCGCCGCGGCGTGCGGTCCGAAGAAGCTTACACTTGAGCCTGTATCTAGCAAGGCCTTGAACGTCGACGACCCGATACGGACGTCCATAAGGGGCTCTTTGCCACCAGCTGTGGTCGCTACTTGGTGCGCACTGCCGTAGGTGCCCGCCGGGGCAGCACCTACCGCCACTGGTTTCCCGGGCACTGTGCTTGCAGGTGACCCGATCGCTGGCACCGGAAGCAAACGGGTGGCCCCATTCGTCGACCCGTGGCACAGTTACGAGATATGTGGCCGAATCCACCACAGCGATGGCACTGCACACGCATTGCTCCACTCGCGGGCTCCTGCCGCGGCATCGGTCCTGGCCCGTAGGGTGAGAACGGAGGCGCTGTGTCGCACGAGTATTGTCGGTCCCGGCAGTACGACGGGTCTAGCGCAGCTGGATGCAGTGGCCAGTGATAAGTCGGCGGTGCCGGTGGGGCAGCAGCAAACGAAGCGAACGACGCCGTCGCCATAGTGTTCGGCTGCGGCAGTGAGCGATGGTCGGGGGCCTGGCTAGGGCGGAACGCCAGATCTCTGGCTACTTGGTTGCTCGGAAGTGGCGGTGGTCTGTACTGGAGGCGACGCCAAGCCCGCTCCATTAGGCCGTCGGCTGCCTTCACCAACTCGGCGAGGTCGCTGTAGGCATGCCCCTCCGCCAAATCTTGCAACTGAGGGTGCATCCGCCTCAGTACGCGCTGCTCCTTCTCGGCTTCGGAGACCTCTTCCCCGATGCGGTCGTAAAAAGTAGCGATGGCATATATAAACTCTTTCAAATTTTCTTCCGGGTGCTGCGTGCGCTGTTCGAGCTCCGCCTTCAGGCGACGCTTCGCGTCAATCGACGAGAACTCGGAGCGGAAGGCAGCGGTGAATTGCTCCCACGAGTCGAACCCGCGCACGAACCGCCACCACAACTTCGCGCCACCCTCGAGGGCAGCCGGTACCACGTGTGTCAGTCGCTTATCGGCGGCGACCCCCGTCACGAGGCAGAAGTTCTCTGAACGTTCGAGAAACTCCTCCGGCGACTGCAAGTCTCTAGCACCGGAGTAGCGGGGGAGGTGCGCAGCGGCGAGCCGAGGCGCAGAGTCGTCGGTGGCCCGAGGGACCGCGCCAGTGTTAGCGGCCCCAGCCCATGCTCCCACGTGCGGAGCCGTGGGCAGCGGCGTCGCCATCACTCGATCGCGCACGACCGCCGCGATTCGCTCGCGCTCCATGGCGGAGCCGTCGGTGCCCAGCAACAGCTCTTCAACGAGACCTTGGAGCCTAGGCATGTCGTCCGCTGCTGTTGTCGGGCCTGAAGCCATCCCGGACGAGCCCCCACTTGTCACGCGCTAACCCGAAATCGCCCACCACACACCGCTACGTCTTGCCACTCTCTCCAACCAGCCCGAACTCTCCCTTCCCCACACACGCAACCCCCACCACTCCAGTCCCAATGATGATGATGACGCCGTCACATAGTGCCCTCTCTCGGCCAAGTCCCGATGATGATGACGCCGTCACGTAACGCCCTCTCTCGGCCACCCTCACAACACTGGCAGCTAAGCCACTCAGCGCAGCAATGGGTGCAAAAGATCTGTGGTTCTAAAAAACTGGTTAATCTTACTCTTACGTTCACATCGATTAGAAAGAAGTGTTACACGTTTGTCAGAAAAAACTCACAGCATATCCACGAGGTGTATGATGATGAGTGAGAGCGAAGATGATGGGCCGAAGGACACACGGACGGACAGATGGACGCACGTGCGGAGGGATGGACGCGCGGACGAATGCATGGACGGACGGATGGATGCACGAATGCACGGGCTCACGCGCAGACGGACGCATGCGCGGGCGCATGGATGGACGGACGGACGGATGGATGGATGGATGGATGGATGGACGCAATGAAACACGGTAGGCCTGATGCATGAACGCATGGGCACAGGCACGGACGGACGGACACAGGGATGAATGAATCGATACTTGTCTGTTCATTCGTTCGTCCATCTGTCTTTCTGTCTGTCTGTGCGTGCGTCCATCCATCTATCCGTCCACGTGCCTATCCGTCCGTGCATGCGTCTATGCGTCCGAACGCGTTCGAGAATGCAGATGGCGCGCGGGTAACACCAACGAGACGCGAGTAAAGGAAGCCGAGTGCAAGCGTCTTCAACGGGCCGCCGCTCTGCTTCGCCATTGGGAGAAGCAGGGATGGCTACTACGACGGACGCTGGGATAACCCCCACTCTAAGGAGCTTCGCCCGTGAAAGTGTAATAATTTCAAGTACTTCGCACTCAACTGTGTGAGAGCCCTGAGCCATACCTGCTGTTTAGAACACATGTTGGGCAATTTGGAGTACGGCTTGCACTAGCGGAGAGCACGTAGCTGTCCCATATTAC